CGCAGCCGCCCCCTCCACACAGCTCTCGGGTGGGCGGTGCCGGCAGGTCCCGCTTCAGGAAGTCGGTGGGAAGTCAGGGAAGCGGACCCTGGCGGGGTCTCCCCAAACCCCTTACCTCACTGAGGGCCTCCCGGAGAAGCCGCGGCCCCCGCGGGCAGGCCCAGGCCTGCAGGGCTCAGGCAGCCATCGGAAACGGCTCTCAGCAGAGAGCGGGGCCAGGCCCAGCCCAGCCAGGGCTCCCGAGACAGCGAGGCGAGAGGAGCTGTCGCCCGGCCTCAGGGGCCCGCTGCCCCGTCCAGCCTCCTCCCGGCTTGCTGTGTGGACCTCAGCTGCAGCTGCCCTGTCAGGCAGGCGGTGGGAGACGGGCTGAGGTGGCGACCAGCCCCGTGCCCAGGTCGGAGGTCGGGCCAGCCTGGCCCCCCAGGCCTGGCCCTGCCCCCAGCCCCTGCCATGCGGTCTCTGGCCCCTCCCGCCCCGTGCTCTGGGGGCTGGACCTGCCCCTGGGTCCCCCCATGGGGCACAGGCCCCGGGTGCCCGGTCAGGGCCACACTGGCTGCCGACGAGGACCACGGCGGGGCTGGGCAGCAGAAGCAAGGAGGGGTGCGGCGGAGGCTGCTGCAGGGAGCGGCGGGGCCAGCGCCCGGCCAGGCATGACTCCGCACCCCCAGGAGCCCTCTGCTGTCCTCAGGAGGAACGCCATGGCCATGGCCATGACCACGACGGGCTGGAGGCCAGCTCCCCGGGGCTGGGGACCACAGGCAGCCAGCTCTGGAGGCTGGAGGGGCAGGCCAGAGGGCCAGGAGGGAGAGAGGGCAGAGGGCAGGGAGGCTGGGGGCGCCGGGGTGGGGGCGCCGGCGGTCTGGCCTGACTCCCCGGGCTGGGCCTGGCCTCCGCAGTCAGGGCTGTGGGCTGAGGGGCGAAGCTGGGGTGGAGGCCTGGGAGGGCGGGGACCCTGGGCTGGAGAGGGAGGGCCCCAGGGGAGGTCCGCCCAGGTGGGTGTGGGGCTGGCCAGGAGCAGACCCAGGAGGGGCCATGCCCTGCAGCCTGCTGGGGGGGGGGGCTGGCTGAGGCCTCCCCTTGGGCCTCAGAGCCCGGCTCCCTCCCCTCTGGGGCTTCAGGGGGAGCCTTCCTCTGGCCTCCCTGGGCAGTCTGGGGCTCAGGCCCGGTGACCCTCTCAGTCCAGCCCCCCCACCTCCTGGACACCTGGCCTGGAGCAGTGAGGACCTGCCATCAAGGGTCAGGGCACCCCATGTCTGCCCTTCAGCAGCCACCTGCCCACCCGCCGGGTTAGGCCACCGGTGGTCAGCTAGGTAGAAACCAGACGAGCTGCCCCCGTCGAGGACGGCGGCTGTGCTCTGGGGGACTGCGGCTCTGAGGAGCCCAGAGAGCAGCTGGCCAGGACGTCCAGGGGGTGGGGCATGCCAGCCCCACTGGGGGCAGAGGGCCAGGGAGGGCCCAGCTCCGGTCACCACCTGTCCTGACTCCCTGAGGTGGGCACTCACCTAGGCCCTTCCTGGGTGACTCGGGGCGTGGGGTGGGTGAGAGGCAGCGGGCCCCAGGCGCCCTCCCGCCTGGCCTCTGCGCTGGGTCCACTGCAGCTGAAGACGAGGTGGCGGCCCTCCCGCGGGTGCCAGCGTCCAGCTGTCCCTGTGCCCTTGACGCGGCCACCGCCCTTGATCGGCGTCATTAATTCCAGCTGTGCCCTATTTGTTTGCCGTTTCCCTTCCCAGGATCTTTATTTATGGCAAGAAAAAGTGCCCGCTGCGGGGAGGGCGGCGAGGCAGCGCCCAGGTGAGCGGTTTCCTTAAAGGTCTCAGAAAAGGAGGGGCCTCGGCTCCCGCTGGAGATGACCAGTTGCCCGGCTGGCCGGAGAGGTGAGGAAGTGAGTGCTGCTCACCTGTCCTTCCCGGTTGTGTGGGCCGCCCTGACTCCAGGGTCAGTATGGCAGTGGGGACTCGCAAGACCTGCGCGCTCTCGTGGCCGCAGAAGGCTTTCGGGGAGCTGTGCTCTGGGCCCCTGCGGGCGCTGCCCAGCCCCTTGGCTCGGGCACCTTCCCCGGCCGCTCTTGGCTCCTTTTGCCTGGGGCTGCCCGAGCCCCGCTTCCTCGGGGCTGGGTCCCCTCTGCTGGTGGCGGGACTGGGCGCCCTGAGCAGCAGCCAGTTTTTATCTTTCTTAGAAAGAAGAACTGGCTGCCGCTCCAGCAGGATCAGCACAGCGGGCTAGGGGAGCGCTGAGGAGACAAGAGGGCCTGCGTCTGGGGGCCCCCACCCCGCATCCCACGCCCCACGGGAGGGGCCCAGCGGCCAGCAGAGGCCTCAGAGCTGTTCTGGGCAGCGGGGGCTGGACCTGCCCTGGAGGACTTCCGCCCAGGGAGCCTGGCAATCACCTGCAGGGGTGTGTCACACGCGAAGGTCAGGGAGCGTTCCGGGGCCACCAGCGAGCGAGCGAGGGGCAGTGGCGGGGTGTTAAGGACGATGTCCCCCCACAGCTGCTCCCAGCCCTGTGCCTGGCACATGCTTAACAGGGTTTGAAGGCCGCTTGGAAATGCGCATTCAATAGACCTGCTTGTACCTTCATTTGGGGTTCAGATGGGTGCCTCTCTTGGGGCTCTCAGTTCTCCGGGACTGAGGGGCTTCCCGTGCTAGTCACCACGTGCAGACTGGACTTGCGGACAGGTCTGCGGCCTCCGCGGGAGGGCTGCGGGGAGGGGCTGGCCAGCTGGGTCGGGGTGGTTTTTCCAGACTGATCCTGATTACCTGGGCTCTGGCGGAGGGAGCCTTCAGCCTTCATTCTGTGTCCTTAGAAAAACAAAAGGTCACCCTCACTCGCTGCCTCTCCCGTGGACATTTCAGGGCCTTTTAAGTGACCCCCGGGGTGCGGTGCTGGGCGGCTCCGGCGTTGGGTTTCTCCGACGGGTTCGCCGCCCCAGCGCGCACCCCAGACGGCCAGGAGGGGCCCAGGCCCGGGCTCGCGAGAGTGCGAGAGCGCTGGGGCGCCCCGCCCGGCCCCCGCGGCTGCCCGCGGCCTCCCTCTCCTCAGACAAAGGTGGCGGTAGCTGCCCGGCCCTCGAGCTGCGGGGCGGCGGCTCGGCCCCTTGCGGAGACAATAACTCTTTTATGGGCAACAAATGTTGGCGCTCGATGCTCGCTCGACGCGCGGAAGGCAGGCGGTCCGCTGGGCGCAGGGCAGAAGCCCTTGGGGCGAGCGCCCCTTCCCGGGACCCAGCCCGGGCTGGGCGCTGTGCCGGGGCGCGGGGCCGGCAGCACCCCGCCCCGCCGGGCCGCGAGCCGACCCCAAAACGAACTGGGCTGTAAAGCGAAAATGAAAATGGAGCCCGCGGCCGCCGCCTGCCCCGCGCAGGAAGGTGCGCAAGCAGATCCGGGCGGCGCCCTCCATGTGCTAAAGACCCGGAGCGGCTCGGAGCGGCTCTGCGGGGCAGCGGGCTGGGCTGCGGGGCAGCCGCCAGGGGGCGGAGGCTGCACCGGCTCCGGCTCGGCCCCAGGGGACCTGCAGGGCCCGGGGTCTGGGTGGCGGCAGCTGGGGGTGCGGGATCAAGTGTCCAGGTAAAACAATCTTCTCTGTTCCAGAGGGGGGCCGCTGGGTCGGGCTTCAGTTTCGCAACATCTGCACTGAGAGCCGTTTAGACCTGGGTCCCCTTCTTCTGCGCTGCGCATATTCCTGAAATGGGGTGCCCTGTGTTTGATCCCTGGGCGAATGGGCTTTCGGCGTTTGAGTCGCTGGACCGTGTTAACTTGCACACCTAGAAGTCTCAGAGGCCGGGGTGGTGGCAGCCTCGGCCGACTGCAGGCAGCAGCTGACCTTCCCGAGTCAGCAGTGAACCCCTTCCTCGTAACACCCCAAAAGCTATCTAGAGGGAGGGAGTCATCGTCTTCCTGGAAATTCTATGAAGGTTTATGCCTGGAAGGAAGCAGATGGATGAGCTGTGCTGGCCTGGCACCCCCCACCCCCACCCCAGCCGCCTCCGGCAGCCAGGGAAGCCCAGGGAAGCGCCGGCCAAAGCCCCAGGTCTATTTCTAAGCAAGTCGGGAGGAGAGGAGAGGAGCCCGCCCGCACCCGGTCGTGCCCTCTGCCCCGCCTCCAGGCACCCGGGTCTCTAGGCCAGCAAAGCCCTGGCTGGGGAAGGCCCGCAGCCGGCTGGCCGGCTGGCCGCGGTCTCTGGAGCCAGCCTCGTCCGCTGCTGGCAGGGCCCTGTGTCCAGGGCACAGCCTCCTGGCTTTGCCTCACGTCCCTGGATTACTTTCAGTACCCTTTCTAACAAGACCCCGGCGAGAGGCCACTAATTCCTAAGACCCAAGAAGCCACTGGAGAGAGATCCGTTTGTCAATATCAGCCGCCAGGCAATCCCCACCCTCAGCCAGTGGCCCATGGGGCTGGCGGATGTTTAGACAAGATTTTATAAATTGTTCAATATCAGCCCATAATGAACCCCAACTGACCATTCCAAAGCAGCTAAAAGCATCCGGGGCCTCCCCCGCTGGGATCCAATAATGTTCTCAGGCGGCAGCATTATTAATCATGGAATAAAATAGATGAACCTCTTGAAAAATAAGTGTAGGATTGATTAAAGGGCAATCTAAGAAGCTATTATTCTTGCTTTATAACTGTAAGTTATATTCACTCAATTTATCTTTGCAGAGGAAATAAATGATTGCTCATTTCTTTTCTAAAATTATATTATATGGATATCCATATAATTTTGCTGAAAATTGAAGTGACAGGTTTGCGGCTTTTACGCCACTAATCAAAGGGAATGTGTTAGTTGACTACAAATTCTAGACGTGTCCTATAATTAGATAGTAACACAATAACCAGGCAATGGTCTAAGCTTGTTTAAACTTTCTTTTCCCCCAGGGGAAGGAAGAGTAGGGCGGCGGGAGGGGGAGAAATCTCTCCTCCCAGGTCTGTTCCATGGGACTTCTATGAAAAGGAGAGTTCAGAGATTGCTCGATCGGTCTGAATAATCGCTGCGCACTTCGATAATTCAGGCTTTAAAATAAGTAACTCTCCCTATGGCTCATTGAGGGCGGGGTGCGAGTGGCCCCCACCGCCGCAGGCCGGCCGGGGCACCCCCAGATCCCGCGGGTCCCAACGTGCCGGAGAGTCTCGGGGTTTTATTTGCCAAGGTTTACAAATTACAGGCACACACGGTTTGCATATTCAGAGCACAAAAATTTTTCTTGCAACACACGTGCATGGGAACGGTCCCCAGCGAGTCTGTCTCCCTGCCGGGCACTCCTGCCCGGCCACTCCTGCCCGTCCTCCGCAGCCTGCCCAGCTGGAGCTGGAGGGAGCACTTGACACAGTTTCATTAAAAAGCCTGAGGTCAGGTCGCCTGCCGAGGGGCTGGGGACTCTGTCCCCAAACCTCCACTAAGAAAAATGAGCCCCGAACAGCAGCTTGTTGTAGACTAGTCTGTTTTTATTTACAATTTAAGATATAAATTAGTAAAGAATCCTTGTTAAACAACCAACAAAGATTGTATAACCAGCAATGTTCAAATAAAAACCAGGCAGAATTTATTTACAAAAAAGTTTAGATTCCATTGCAATACAACTTGCATAAATTACTAGAAGCTTTATATCATTATAAAAATAAATATCAAATTTGTTTCCACTTCTTAAGTACTCAAGTTCTTCAATCACGTTTTATTTCTACTGTATACATCTTTTACAAGTAAATTTTACAGTGAATCCTATCACACCTATAGAATATATACCGTGGCAATGAAGTGATCCATTCAAGGTATCCTGAGAAAAAAGATCGTTTCAAAGGTCACGACACGGGGAGCTACGCCAGCCAGCAGTCCGGCGCCGAGCTGGGGCTCCGGCCGGCTGGCGGCTCGGCTCGGCTCGGCGGCGCTGGCGCTGGGACTGTACACTCTGAGCTCGGAGAGGGGAGGCCGCCGACATTTTTTTCCAAAGCAATTGTGACACCTACCTGTGGGCCCGGGGAAAAGCCACGCGGTCCCGAATCCTTCGCTCGCTCGCAGCAGCAGCCAGCTCTCCGGGATCCGCCCGCGGCCGGCCGGCCGGGGGCACCGGGCGGCTCCCGGCTCCGGGCTCCCGGCTGCGGCCTCCGCGGGCGCGCGCGCCGGGCTCAGGGGGCTGGCCCAGCGCGGCCGGCTCCGCATCTGTCTGGCCGGGCGAGACGGTTCCGAATCGCGCAAACCCCCGACTTAGTCATCTATTGTTTTAAGAGGGGGCGCAGCAGCCGCGGCGCAACCTGCACTTCGAGGCCGGAGGGGCGCTCTCCAGCGCCGAGCTGGGCCCGCCGAGGGTCTGTAAATGGGGGCGCGGGCCGGAGCGGGACTGGGGCTGGGGAGGGAGCCGGCGCCCACTTACTTGCACTGGAGCCCGCTCTATAGGTAGGGCGGGACGCCCCCGCCGACCAGCGCGCAGCCCTCGCCCGCATCTGTCGGGGGAGGGGCCGTCGTCAGCAGGGCCGCGGGGCCATCTGTCGGGCCGGCAGCCACCGCCCCCAGGGGGCCTCGCGCCCGCAGCGCCGGGACTCGTCTTCCTCCAGCGCTCCCCACCCGGGTCGGAGCAGGAGGCCGCCCCAGGGCTGGAAGGGCATCCGGGCGTCCTCCCCGCACCGGCCGCTCGGGCAGAGCAGGGAGCGGCGCCGCCCGCGCCCGGCGGACCCGGCTCGGGCTCCCTCGGCGGCCGGCCTTTGGGGGCTGTGGTCCGCAAGGACGGGGGCTGCACCCCAGGGGCCACTGAGGCGAATGGCGCAGGTCTCACTGCGGGGCCGCCCCCGCCCCCACTCTGGCTGGCCCCCGCCACTCGACCCCAGCCAGAGAGGGGCGGCTGCGCCTCGGCGGGTAACAAAGCCCCGGGCCGCAGGCTCGGCCCCTCCGGGGCCCCGCGCCCCGCCCCCTCAGGACCCCGCGCCCCGCAGCCTACCTTTCTTGGGCTCGTAGCTGCCTCCGGGGGGGCGGTAGTGGGGCTCCAGCGGGTGCGCGCCGGCCTTGCCCGCGTCGCTGGCGGCCTTGGGCGCCGCGTGGAGCGCGTC